CATAGGTTTATTGAATCTAAGTGGACAAGGTCATCTAATGGGTGGTTCGGGAAACGAGCTGTTTCGACGGAGTTGGACCAAAGAGCCAGGGCATACGTTGGATATGCTGGGGTCTAGACTGGAAAAGTAGGAGTTTAACCTGCTACAGTGTCCAGGCCTTGATTGGGCTAAAGTCACGCAGGTCTCTCGAGGCAGCTCTAGCTCGTTGTCTGCTATGGGTGGTGGTATTTCTCCGAGTACGCCATTCACTGGAAGGGAGTCTTTGAAGGTGTTGACTGACTTCAGGTGAATGGTGCTCAGGGCTTGTATGTACTCCGTCCTGCCCAGCGGTTCTTTAATTCTAGTACTCTAGTACTCTTTTTCTGATGTGGCTAGGTGGAGGTTCAGCTTCTATTAGGTGCTTATTGAGGTACCCCTGCGGTAGCATCCCAATAGGAACTGCTTGCTCAGCAAAGCATTATGCTCCTTAGTTCGTAGCATAGATGCTTCGCTGTGCAAGTGATGCTCCGGCGACATCAGAAGGTTTCCTGCCGCAATCCTGAAAGTGGTGTTCTGACAAGACTGTAGCTCCTTTATCTGCGTCATTATCGCTATTTAAATACAGTGCATTCTAGTTCTTTTTTTAGCATTACAAGAAAATTCTCTGGTCTTGTCATCATCTGTAAATTACATAATTTTCTCGGAGAGTTTTTGAAATTTTATCTGACTTTTCAGTATTCTGAGGAATTTTACAAATGCATTTTTCCACTTGACTACCGCACTGTGGCCTTTCTCATGGTATCGGTTCTTCTTTCAACTAGGTGAGCAGCGGATTATTTCTTTTAAAAGGAATCGTTGCTCAAAATAGCTACCTACCGCTCCATGCCTTACTTTACCATATTTATAATGAATGAGAAGTGCTTGTCGAATAGAAACCCATTTGACTGTCTATTGTGACCGCAGCTATTTGACGTCCAGTCATCTTTGAATTTGTTAACGGTTGAGTGTATTGGTTGCGACCAAATAGTAGACCACTGTGCAGACGATCATCTAGAACAGTGGGGATATGTTTTCCATCTATGGCAACATGGTATTCCCATACGCCAGACAATGATACTTCAGGCCCTAGCAAAGTCGATCGGCCTTTACTTATTTTGGAGTGTTTTCCGATGGGTATAGAATTTTACGACTGTTGTGTCAAAAATATATTCTTTGCTCTCCCTGGCATTAAAGTCAACCAGTAGTAATTTAGCAACACTCAATGAGCCTCCTTGAACACATCGTGCTTCTTTTGAATCGAGGCGGGGGCAAATATCAGGCACATATTAAGTAGTATAGCTTTGATATTGATTGTCTCTCTCCTACCAGGAATTCAAGACAAATTCTATGTCTTCAACCAGGTGCACAGCGGCAACTTCCTAACTAAGGAGCCGTACATTCCAGGTGCATATCCCTAATGTAGCGTATTCCAGTTCCTGCAAACACCCTTACCGCATGAAGTGGTATAAGTTCGAAACACGTCGCTTGCTGTAAGGCAGACTTTAGTTAATTTTAAACCGGAAATTATGGAGGGGTTTCCACTCGTTTAGCGTTGTCACAAAGGCTTCAAACTGGTGGTTATTATATCTCGCACTTCCTTACGTTCTCATAGTGTTCGCCGATTACTCCAGAGTAGGATTCGGATATATTCTGGCAATAAGTCTTTGCCCAGAAGCAGGACTACAGCCTTAACAAAATCTGTTAGACTAATTAATGTTTCAAGTGACAGAATCTGCCTCTGTCTCTACTCAGTTATGCATGGTCTCATTGTGTTTGTTTGAGTTATAGAACCGAAGAAAAACATACTTCATCTGTTTTTGTCTGTATAAATAAGTTGCAAAAAGCATATTTTCCAAGAACTGAACTAGGTAATAAATACTCTTAAAAAATATCAATTACTCACTGCTCTCTTTACATAAAACGCTTTCTCTTACATATGCATACATTAATTTATCTGCCCAGAGTTTTTGTGAAAAAAAGCTCTTTTGGCTCCATAAAGCTTTTCTCGTTCTTCACACAATCACAGCCCGCATACAGACACACGAGAAACTCCTGCAATACCATCGAGTGATTTTGTCTACCCACCACTGTTATCCTTTGGAATGTTCATACTCTAAATGAAAAAACTGAACCAGCATTGTAATAAAGCGTTTGTGGTGGAAAGGGGTTGTTGACACGAAATGCCTTTGCTTGTGCTACAACGAAAATTATTGCTCAGTTGCAGCTGTTAATGTGGTACGCTTTTTGTGCTTTTGCGCTCTGACGTTGCTTTTCAAAGCTGCCAACTTTGTGCATTGTTGTTGCACAATATTTTTGGGTGTTGTTTAGTTTTTAGAGTACACACATATATGTGTATGTGTGTTTCCTTCTTTCGGGCTATTTGTTTTTGTCCTTTGCATTGGCATTTAACCTCACTGCACGAACACAGACCTGGCAAAATATAGCCTGGCTTGGCCTCAATTTAATCAAGGCTCTTTCAACACGCCTCTCTACTGCTACGCTCAACTCTCTGACTCTCTTTTTTTTGTGCCAAAGAGCGACACACCATTGTTATTGTTTTGCATATTGTATGCCTGGGACAGCTCTGCTACTCTGTACGCACATATTCACAACCAAACATAAGTACATATACATAAAAACCTACATATATACACCTACGTATACGTATATAATATATATATAAATATATCTGCATAGATATATACATATGAATGTGTGTACGATTGTTTGCCTCGGCCTAAAGTCCTTGCGAGCAAAATGTTCTTCTTTTGTTTATGAAACAAAATTTCATTTTAAAGTTTTTATCTGCGTTTGCATTTTACTTTCAGTTTTTCGCAATTTTATTACCTTCTCGCTGCATCCTCTTCTTCCCCTCTCTCCTATGTGCTCACGATTATATGTACGCTTTTTTTCGTTGTTTTTTCTTCTCAGTTTTCGGTATTCTTTCTACTTTGTTGCCGATTTTGGGTGTGTGTGTGTGTGTTTTTTTTTTTTTACTTCGTTAAATACCATGCGGTGGTCGTTTTCAATTGTGTTTTAACATTTGTTTTTGCATCTGCTTTTGTTTTCGCTTTGTCAGAAATTTGTTAGCATTTAAAGTGTAAAACTTTCTTGCTTTCAAGTATGCGCTTCTAAGTCTTTTTGAGTGCCACACTGCGTATGAGTAATGCACTAATGAACTTTTTATTTGCCATTGAAGTTTTATCTTTGCGCACTTCGCACACATACATACCCCCTGTTAGCACATAGTAACATAAACAGCGGCTTAATTCATGCATAGTGCGTGGGTGCGTGAGTTCTGAGATGTATTGGTCTTTGTATATATATGTATGTATGTATGTATGTATGTTGGCATAAATGAGCTGAAAGGCTTGAAAAGAAAACTTTTTAATTAGAAAAAAATGCAATAAATATATGACTGTTTGAACTGATAAGCACTAATGAGTTGAAGAAGCACTTTTGTGGTAGCAGAGTGTTTTGAGCTCTTTTTTTTTTAGACGCTTTAGTATAATTTTGAAAACGTTTTCAATTAAAATTCTATCATTTTTGATTGGTAGTAGTAGGCGATATATGTTCTGACTGTCTTATTTTGGCCTCTTGCTGTGTCATATATTCATCAGCGATCTTCTAAACGGGGTACTTCATTATAAAATGCTTATTTGAGCAGCTGATGCTATGAAGGGCCTAGCAATGGTTTTATAGAAAGTATTTGGGTTTTATATTATAAATTTAAAAAACAAATACTGATTGAAATATAAAGCCTTGCAATTTATTATATATCAATTAATTTAATATATTTTATATATTATAAGAAGTTCTGCCTCTGCATTTTAGCAGCTACAGTTCCGTACCTCAAATAATCACAATTATTTTCCACTTCGAAAGTTTTTGTGTATTTGAAATAAATAAATTTGTAACCTTCTTTAATAAGTTTTTCAAATCTTTCTACTTTAACAATCCTCAAAGCGCTGTTGTGGTCTTGTTTAACTTCTGCTTTGATTCCATCTCCATCTCCCCACTCGCAGTGTGGCTTCGTCTTTTAATGAACATCTTCAGTTTTGAAAACAAAATGATTTGATCTGGAAAGTACGTGGCTGCGGCGCTAATACTGTGATCATTTTGGGCAAATAATTACCTTCAAGCAACATTTTAGGAGCAGTGGTTTTAGAAAAAAAAAGCAATAGTCAAGTTTGTTCTTACACAATTCAGGATCTTTTTAACACAATAATTGCCACTTATTGCTCATACTTGAATATGTAATAATTGGCCTTTGTAACCGCTCTGTTGCAAGAACTTGTGATGCACAACGCAACTGCAATCGCTAATTGAATTTGTGTCGGTAGTAAATACTGGAAATATACAGAGTCAATAGAGCACAGAACCTACGAGTGGCCACTATACGGAAGATAGGGGTTGATAATATTTGGTGAATTTGGCATGAAGGCCTGTTACGATCAATTGATCTCTTGTGGTTCCGATGCTTCGGAAACTGGGATGAAGATTGTTTGGCAAAAGATGAGATATTTTATCGAAAAAATACATGGACGATATTTGGCTTCAACAGATAGATGCTAGCTGCCACAAGTCCTATACTAAAATCCATCTTTCATCATTTGCATAACAAAAATATTCCAGGGAGCAAGAAAACTCTTAACCTTCGGACCTTTTTTATTCGCTGCTTTCTACGAACATAAAAATTTATAGATCTCTGTTGAAGACTACAACACTTCAAGTTGGCTAATCTATCTATCTATCTACGCTGAAGAAGAAGCTACATGAATTTGATTCGGGAAAGTTAAGATTGTGGGGGGAAAAGCAGTCAACTTTGTATTCTTAAAACTTCCAAAAATAATCTTGGAAACTATGAGCGAGTTCTGTAAATTCAAAAAATTAATTTACTATTGTCTCTAGAGTATGTGAATATAAATGTATAAAAGATAAAATATCACATTTCAATAAACTTTCCAAAATCTTCTTTACAGGACTGGTGGCGGCAGCATGTTGGGTGATGTTAACATATCCGCTATACTTGACTCCTTTAGCGTTAGCTATGACAAAAGAGTAAGACCTAACTATGGAGGTAAGTTTAATGTTTTCAAACCACAAAAAAAAAGTGATGAAAAAGCGATTTGCAAAACTTTAAGAAATAGTTTAATATAAAATCGAAATTGTTGCTGAGATCAATGCATTCAAACGTTTAATACATTCTAAACTGGTTATGATTACTTACCAAAGGTTATGGCAATAACAATCACACTGATGTGTTGATCCCAATATATATAATTGCAGTATTTTATTAAATATTAAGAATTTTAGTCATAACTAAATGCATATGCAAAATATACTTACATAGCTGTGCCTAGACTTTTTCATTTATATACAAACAAACTAACGCTTCAAACAGGATTACTCAAGCAACACATTCATGCATACATAACAGTGCCTTTATTATACATTTTCATTAAAAATAAAACCAAAGTGCATCATTTTTTTACGGAATGAGTAGCTATTTTTAAAACTCTGCTAAATAAAATAGTTTATAAATATATCGTTTTTCTTTAATTCATATGTTATTTTCATACATACATATAAACATGCCCAAAGCATTTCAACAATATACTCATATGACAATAACAACTTCTTTTTCGCACATAAAATGACACACAAACATATTTCGAAAAAACAAACATAAATTTACATGCAACAAAAACATTTACATTTCGTTTTATTATTTTTTCATATATCAAATTAAACGTAAATTATAATGGGTGATGTAATTTTTATTTAAATTTACTCAAACTAAAGAAACATCATTAAGTACGAAAATATAAATAAAACAAAAAAAAAACATTTTTTTTATAAATATCTAATATTCTTTTGAATTTTTGTTCCGCTACAACTCTCGAGTTGATTTTTGGTAGTCTCTCTTTGTTTTAATTTGATATTTTCATTTGACTTTTTTAAATTGATACAACATATTCATGTTTCAGGACCACCCGTTGAAGTCGGCGTCACCATGTATGTGCTATCGATCAGCTCGCTGTCTGAAGTTAAAATGGTACACATTACGACAAAACTGTACCTTTTACCAAAAAAAAAAAAAAAATAACAAAAACACCAATTAAAGTTGTCGTCTTTCTTTTTCAATTTTTCTAACTATTAGTTGACTTTAGTTTCATAATTAGTAATATATTTATAAATAAATATATATTAGCATTTAGTTTTGAACGTATTGTCTTCTTCTACTACTATTTGCGTCTGCATTTTTACACCTTCTGTTTATGTTTACCTAATTTTCCTTTACTTTCTTATTGAATACTTTTTATTGCTAAAATAGTTGTTATGAATTATAAAATAATTTTCCGATATTGTATATTTTGTTTGTTGTGGAAATTTGAGTTATTTGTTGGTTTGCTGAAATTTCAAGAAAATAAAAAATAAGCATTTGTGCGCTGTACCTTTTGCATATTAAAAAAAAAAGAAATATTTATATTTAGAAATTCCTATTTTTTATTCTTTTCTACTAATTATTAACCTACGCTGAATCTAACTAGTTTTGTACTGCTAGCATTTGTTCTAATAAATTTTTATAGTTATTTTGCCGTTGCTGCGGTTTTCTCTTTATTTCAAATTTTTCCTGAATTGCTCACAGGTAAACATACAATTTTTTTTTTTTTTTAACAGAAGGAGAGCAAGGATGAGTTAGGGTTTCTGTGCAACTTTCAAAGGCAAAATTAAGTATTCTGCGTCACAAAAAAAAAAAAGAAAAAAAAATTATAAAAAAAATGTATTTAAATTATATTCATTCATTTCATTTGTCCTCTTGATTTCCAAACTTCGGAAAATATTTATTTATATTTCCACCCTTTTTTAAACTCTTCGCATACGAAAAAAAAGATCTTGTCACAAAGGAGATATTTTTAAGAGATAATGTAGCAAAATTAGGCAAGCAACAGGTAAACAGAGAACAAAACAATAGATACAATCGCTTTCATAGATCAAAGCGATTCTTTATTCAGCTCAAACACGTTCTTTAAGAATAGTTTAAAAAAACAGAAATCCTCAGAAGTAAAAATAACTGTAAGTAATTTGCAGTCGAAAATAAATTATAAATAACTACAACCGTCCGTTAAAGAGTGATTTATTCCTTAAACAACTAGAATTTTAACAAGAAAAAATTGTAATTTTGCAACAAATATTGAATAAATAAAAAGGTCTACGTGGCTTTTTCTTTTCCTGTCTGGTTTTAAATAGAATAATTTTATAATGCTCCTCCGCCAAACTTTTGCTGTATATCTTGGTCATTCGAATGGTAGTTCATACTGCTAGCCACGCAGTTAGTGCAGTCGCGGGATTATGTATGCAATTGAACATTTCATTTTTCATATTTAGAATTACCCGGTTCATTTCAAATCGACATCTTTTTGCTCGATAACGTTTTGATATTTTTAAAATAAATAAATTGGAAACCCTAGACAGAGAAATGAAGTTTAAACAAGGGACTATTTTTGAGCTCTGGTCTATCAGAACCTTCGAATCTGGAAGACAATACCGATATGTGTAGTCTAACATTTTTCTGAAACACAAATCCTCTTATTCTGGCTAAAACTGGGCACTTCAGGGCGTTTGCAATATCCGATAGTACAGTTCAGAATTAAAAGTTTGGTCGTGGCGAAGCAGCTCAAAGTGAATCAATCCCACCAAACACATAACAAAGCCTTCCCGGCCATCAATCCTGCATCGGAGATCCTCGTTCTCGTCTTCTCTTCGTTCATTTCATACTATATTACCGTATTTGAGACATTTTTTATTGCCCGTGATGGATTGCTTCTGAAATAAATTGAAATGGGGACCGCTTTCCAATTGTTTCGTAATGTGGTCACTTAAATTTTTTTTAATGGTTAATATAGCAGCCTTGAATAGCCAAATTTTTTATAATTCCAAGTTATCGCGTGTGTGAGAGCTAGTGTCTCCAATACCTTTTGGCAGCTTCCGGGCCAGTCTTGCTCCAAGAATTGCTGAAATTCAACGACATTATGAGTGACTGACCCTTCAAAGTGAGGCACATCTTTGACATAAAAATCTCCGGAGTGAAATTGAGCAAAGCGCTTCTACTTCAGAGAAAGTTAGGGCTCCATTTTGAACCATCTTTATATTTTTTTAGTGAAAAACATGTTGAATAATATTTCTTGCGTAATCTCATTAGTTTTTAAATCAATTCACTATGAACGGCTATAATTGCTCTTTTCAAAATAAAATATTACCTGGAATATCAGCTATCAAATAGGTTTAGTTTTACCGGAAATAAAAGAAGCAACACCGGCTGGTGACAAAAACCGGAAACAGTTTTTGGTTTATATATTACTTATCTACTTGGAGATGATTACTTAAAACCTTATCCGCATCATAAAAAAAATTAATTTTATATTTAATTCACAGATGTCGAAGGAGAAAAGTTATTTTTAATGTACTTTACAGTGGTCAAAGGAAAAATTTAGTTTTTATTATAATTCACAGAGGCAGTCTGTGGCACTATTTTTCTAATCCAATAACAAATACAATTTTTGATTAAACACCTCAGCGCCTAAATAAAAATGTACTGCGAAATTTATTATCTAAACCTTTAATTTCAATACAATATCACCCAGAAACATAAAAAAAAACCCATAGAAAAATTGTTGTTAAAAATTAGATGTCACCAAAATTTAAGCGCTTCACCCCATTGGCACTGAAATTTCAAACAGTTTTATTACACATAAACAACTAACAAATAACTATGCCAACATATCTATACATATATGTACACCAATAACACTTGCAATTGAACGCCTAATCTTTTATTAATCTAAATTGTCTTCTTCTTTATTTCATGTTTCTTTTCTATTTTTGTTAAGTATACAATACATTCAAAAAACATTTGAATTATTTTTTCTCAAACTCGAAATTTCATTTAAACATACATACATACATTTACATACAAAAATCAGCAAAAGTGTTACAATTTCGTAAATATTATTGACGAAGAATATAAGTAAATGAAGTTAAACAGGAAGATATGAAGGAAACGTATAACAACTTATATGAAATATGAATTTATTTCTCTCTATATGTAATACGTATGACATAAATGAAGTAAGAAGAGAATTTAGATTGATTTGGTTTTCATTCGACACATTGTCACATATATAATATATATAGAAATATTTGACGAATTTACAGGTATTAAAAACACAGCAACTGTAAGGATTTTTTAGCATACTATATTTATTTTTATTATTCTTTTTTTTTACATTTTACATACACATACATGCCATTTGATAATCATACAGAAACACGCTACAGCCATGAAGATGATGATGATGAAAGCAGTGGACATGGCGTATACGTAACTTTAAGTTGCTGCAAATAGAGCAGAGCTGGGTCGATAATGGATAAAATTTGAACAAGCCTGGTGTAAATTAATTAAAAAAAACTATTAATGGAACTAAATAATAAATATTATTGTGTAAAGCTTTAAATTTTTTTTTTTTTTTTTTTGGATAAATTTACGTTTCGACAAAATATACAAAGAAATTGTTTGAAAGTGTAATAAAACACACTCGTTGAGCTCATATAAATCTTTACAATTTTGGCTTAATTGTCAATAACATAAATAGTTAAATTAACTTATATTATAAGCTTACGACAAGATAATTAAATAACATAAACATTTTCAATTTACTACAATTTATTTGTCTTTCTCTACCAACTGCTTTCAAGTCTGTTGCTTTCATTATCATAATTCTATGTTGATTAGCGACTTTTTTTGTCACGTACTTTAATTTTTAACTCCCGTGTTTTATACTCGTCAATAAAGTCCTCGTCTAAGCTGTTTTCAAGTACTAACCGCAAAGTATGTTTTATCTCCACCATACATAAAAACCAATAAAATTAATATAAAAGAAATTATTTTTTTGCTTTCCTACTTTTAAAAACCAATTTGCAGACCTACATTTCCTAAACTTAAAATTTTGTATATCAACACCTAACCCTATACCCAAAAATACCTTAATATACCTAATCACAAAATATATAAATAAATGCAAAGCAACGCATAAAATGCAAAACATTTTGCGACAAAGCAAGATAAAATCTTTTTTTTTTTTTCAATTCAATATAATGTATCTAATGTACATTTTTATCGTCTTGAACTTGTTTGTGTAAAGCAAAGAAAAAAACATAAAACAGAAACAGAAAAAAAAATAAGTATAAGCAACAATACAAATTTTTATAACTATCTATGTATACAAATATATGTGTATGTGCAGCAATTATAACACAAAAACGTGTGTGTGTATGTTCCAGGTCCACCAGTGGAGGTTGGCGTCACAATGTATGTCCTCAGTATCAGTTCGGTTTCGGAAGTTCTCATGGTACATATCGCAAAAATAAACTAGTACTTTCCGTACATACAAACATAGTACATACAAAACAGAGTACATGCATACTTACTTATCTTATATAATTAAATACTAACTCTTGCAAATAGCAAACAAATAAAAACAAAACATACATATATATACGTACTTATATATACAAGTATACATTCAAACAGTTATATGCATACGAATAAAATACAGTACAATAAATTAAAGAAACTACATACATGCAATATTTATATATTTATTTAACTCTTAATTTTCACTTAATTGTAATTCAATTTAATTAAATTTCATTTAAATTTTTTTATTTTTAATTTTTCCCAAATACTTTTTCTGTTATTAAAAAGCAAACATAATAATTAAAAAAAAAACTTATATAATGTTTAATAAAAAATTAATATTAAAATTATTAAAAAGTCAAGTTAAGACTAGAAATTTGATTTTTAATCACGATCAAAATTAATATTTTTAAGAAGTTTATATATCTGAAAGTCAAAAATAAAAAACGTATAGTTCAGTTTCCTTCAAAGCTGATGTACGTGAGATCTTAGATTTTATTCTAAAAAAAAAACTAAAATCTAAGTTGCATAGATTTTTTTTCGTATCTCCAATATCTCAAGGTAAAATTGTTTTTGGCGACGTATGAAAATACAGTTTGTCTCTTTCACCTTGCCTTAAACAGCTTTATTAGCAAGATAAGAAACTCTACCAGAAAATGGAACTAATGCGGCACCATTTAACGGCTTCATAAGGAAAATATTTTTTTCGAAATATGTAGCTATAATAACAATAAAAAGTATTTTATGATTTTGTTATTGAATAGAGGATTTTTGATGCGAAATTTCACTTGTATATGTTATGTAGAGAAACTATAACTAGTAATCTCCACATCAGGCTATTGGTCACTCTTAATCGTTAATTCATATAGATAGCTAAAGACTGAGCCAATTAATTTGAACTGGATTTGGTACGGATGGCCATGAAATATTTGCTCTATAAAAATGTTTTAAAACAAGTGTATAAATATTTTTGAATGATTTTTGTCTGGCATTAGAATATCCCACTCTCTTCCGTGTAGCAATGCAATATACAGATTTAATTTCGTTTCATAAAGACGAACCATTCATGCCGCCGGTCCTCAAGCCGCACCACAAAGTCTGTCGTTGAGCATGGCCTCATTTTCAATAGCTACGAGTAGGGTACCTATTGAGTACCAATTTTGTTTTTTAACGTAACTTCATAGGATTCTCATCTTCCAACAGGCAGCCCGGACTAAGCCCTTGGAGCTAAACTAAATTGCAACGGTTGTCATGAAACTTCAATTCTGGAAACAACTGGACTTCATTAGTATTCACATTGAGGTCTCAAATGAGAGCACGATATGATTAAGTCCGCCCAATGGTGTCGGCAATATGTTGGTGGCATTTCGAGCATATTTTGAGCTATAACGGAAATATTTTTCTCTGACAGCACTGGACAACTAGTTGACCAAGCCAAGTTCACGAACTCGCTGCTCACATTGTTCATCAAATAGTTTTGGTGCATTAATTTCGTGTGATAAAAAAAAAAATTATTTTCTTAGACACATGGCTCTTCTCAGGTTACGCTCGATCATAACTCTTGCGAAATAATTTTTAAAAATATTACAGACCCATTTCTGTCAGTTTTAGCATGAAATTATTTTTTTTGCTACGGAAGTCATATTTAGCTTTGACGTACGCTTAAAATCATTTAGTACGACAAAAAGATATACATTTAAACTGAAACATCAAAAAAATTTTATTTTTTCTTTAAAGAAGAGCCATTTATGTTTTACTGCTTTACCATAAATAATTTGAAAATTATTTAAGTTCTTTAATTAAGTTTTTTAGGGTTATTCCAGGCTCCTTTAAATTTTTGGCATAGTTTTTTTTGCCGTTAATAACAAAAAATTAAAACATATGCATTGGGAAAACTATTACCAATAAATTCATTTACAAATTTTGATCCGTTAAACAAAAATCAAAGCAAATCCTTTGCAAAAGCGTTATTTCTTTAATGAAAATTTGAATAAATTCGTTTTCAAGGATGAATTTTTCTGCTTGCAAATAAAATTGATATGAAAAGGAAAAGCATATATGTCCACTTAAAATGCAACTAATAAAATACTGAGTAAAATTTTTTATTATTTTTACGTAATTGATTTAAATTATTATTTTCGTTTTTCTTTGCATTTCTTGACTGGTGTCAACGTTAATGTTGTAAAATAAAAACAAAAATTGCTTTTAGTTCTATGCTTTGTTTTCTGTTTCTTAAGTATATTAAATTGTTTTAATATGTATAACTATATATATGTATCTTTCATCACTATTGCTGCAAGCTCTAAATTAAATAAAGAAATACATTAACTCACTTAAACAATGTTTATAACGATTAATGATTAAAGACACACACTCAGATACTGTGAGTTTTGTAAATCAACTACATATAAATAAAACAATACATTTTTGGATATGGGAACTTGCTTTTTTTCTCTGGCATATTTGCAATGAAAACTTAATAGTTGTTGTTGCCTAAAAGAATTGCATTTAATAAGCAAATATAAATACATACATACAACTAACCAACCATGTCATCTATACCTCTATCTCTACCTCTCTCTCTCTATCTCTCTAAATAAATATATATCCAACTAATGCTGGAACTATCGGCCTTTCTATTCTATCTCTGAACTCTTTCTACTTCCTTCCACTCGAATTGACAACCAATCCACATTTCCTAGTCTCTCATACTATAAACGCAATATTCGCAGCCTCTTTAAATACATATACCCACATGCATACCAATAATTAATGTCGTCTATGTTAATTAATTTACTAAAAAAAAAAAAAATTATTCCAAATTTACTAAGTGTAATTGAATTTGACATCTGTGTTTTTTTTGTGTTATTGTAAATGAACTTTTTTTTTTGCAACTGCATTCCCTATATTGCTTTTTAATTTGCTAACGTGTATAATTTTTTTTCTTGTATTTAACATCAGCGCAATCATTTATTTTAAACTCGCAACACATATCACCAAGAATACTCCATGTATATATTAATTATTATATATATTTTCGATGAAGTAAAGAATGTTTTTTATACATCAAATAGTTGGCAAAAATCGGAAGCATCCAAATTACATGTATTTATTTAAGACATCATAATTGTTTATCAGAAAATTAGCATTAAAACTCATATTCACCGGCTTTACTCATACATACACTCATTAATATTTTAAATCGCAATTGTAAGGATGAGAGTAATTAACAACAACTCAATTCAGTTTAAATTTGTACACATATTCACCAAATCCACCATTACTGTTATTCACATATACGCAGTTATTTATTTACAAGAACAATTAAGAAAAACTATTAAATTGCATTAACATATTATTTTTGTATATTTTTGTCATACCATTTTATTATATTTATGTATGTATAAGTGTCTTAAACTTTTTTTTAATTCCAAGCAGCATATTCTTGGTTAAATACTTGCGTGTGTTGGGTATATTATATAAACATAACGCAAAAATCGTTTTTTTTTTTTACTTCAAAAGTTGTGTATTTTTAGTGTTTTTGTATATTCGTTTTTGTATGTGTGTGTGCTTAGTGCGGTGAAAAAATTTGTTATATAAAGATACATTAAAAAACAAAAAAAAAAATGGTGGAAAAATAAAAACAAAAGTGAGTTTATTGCATGAAACTATTTAATTTTTAATCAACTAATTAAGCCAAACCAAAATTTCGAAACACATAAACAAACAAAAACAAAATTTTAGTGTTTAGTTGGAGAAAGTATACCGAATAACAGCGAAAAGCAACAATTTATACAAAAAAACCTTTTCTACATTTTCAATATTTTAAAATTATTTTAATTTATTTTATTGTATTTGATTTTATTTTATCTTTTTTATTATATCTTTTTTTACATTTTATTTTATATTATTTTATGGTATAGCCTGATATCCCAAGCTGCTAGTTGCCTTTTATGTAATGTAATTATTAATAATTATATTTCATTCAAATAAATAAAATAAATAAATAAATAAATATTTTTTTCTCATTTCATTTTTTTATTTTATTTTAGTTTATTTTATTTTAATTCATTTGATTTTTTTTTTATTTAATTTTATTTTTTATTGTTTTTCATTTTGTTTTTTCTTACTTTTTTAATTTAATTTTTTTATTTTATTTTATTTCATTTTAACTCATTTTATTTTATTTTATTTTATTTCATTTTAACTCATTTTATTTTTTTTTTTTATTTAAGTTTATTTTATTTTAATGCATTTTATCTTGCTTTATTTTATTGTATTTGATTTTATTTCTTCTTGCTTAATTTAATTTTATTTCTTTTCTTTTATTTAAGTTTATTTTATTTTAACTTTTATTTTTTTATTTCATTTTATTTTATTGTATTAGATTATTTGGTTTTTCTATTTTAGTTCATTTCAATTTATTTTATTTATTCTATTGTATTTTAGTTTATATTATTTTACTTTATTTTATTTTATTGTATTTAATTTTAGTTTATTTGATGTTATTTCATTTTATTTATTTTTTATTTTATTGAGTTTTATTTCATTTTATTTTTGTTTATTTTCTTTACGTTATTTTATTTTATTTTGTTGTTTTTTTATTGTATTTTATTTTTCGTTTAGCTTGTTTCATTTAATTTCTTTTTTTTTCATTTTATTTTATTTTATTTTACAAGTTGTTTATCTTTCGAATTTTTCAGATAGAACAATTAACATTTCATTCTAAAATGAAATACCATAAATTTGACCAAAGGAGAGATCTTTCATCTAGTCTATGTTTTTATTTTTTTTTATTTCATTTAAATTTACTTTATATGATTTTATTTTAGTTTGATTTATATTTAGTTTGTTTTTATATATTTTATTTGTTTATTTTCTTTTATAATATACATATTAAAAAAAAAGTTTCATAAATTGGATAAAAATAAA